CGAGAGAGATCTTCCATCCATTGGTTTACTCCCCAAATGACCACAGTGGCTGGAGCTGGGCCTATCCAAAGCCAGGAGCCAGGAGATTCTTCAAGGTCTCCCACGCTGGTACAGGGGCCCAAGGACTTGGGCCATCTTCTACTACTTTCCCAGGCCATAGCAGAGAGCCAGATTGGAAGAGGAGCAGCCAGGACTCAAACAGGTGCCCATATGGGATGCCGGCACTGCAGGCAGTGGCTTTACCCACTACGCCACAGCACCGGCCCAGCAATACTCGTTTTATTGACTTTGGAAGTATATTGATTTGTCAGTTTGACCTCACAGAGCACTTTGTGAATCCTTAGTTCAATTCTTAATTCTGGTATTAAGACAGAATCATCTTTTTGGAAAATTTATGGGACTTATCATAATACCCTTCATTTTCCCTCACGGTTGTATTCATCCAGGCAGTAAATCTCACATTTTGTACTTCCTTGACTTATCTTGAATTTATCACGGCTGCCAGAATTTTCATTCAAACCTCATCATTTCCTTCCTGGGTTATCACAGTAGCTTTTTAATTGGTTTCCTTGTTTTACATTGTATGGCATAGAGGTCCTTGGTGACATCCTGCCTCTGTTCTCACCAGGCAGGCTTCTCATACATGAGTAAATTGTTTATGGTACCACTCACCCAGTTGCTCCATGCTATTTCATGCATTTGCTTGTGGTCTTCTCACCTAAATCAGCTAGTTTTTTTTCTTTGAAACTCAGCTCGGGTATCTTTCCCAGAAAACCTTACTGGAACAGCTGGCTTCATTCTTTTGCATGTGGATATCCAGTTATATCAGCACCATTTATAGGAAAGACTATTCTTTCTCCCATTGAATTGTCTTGGCACCCTTGTTAAAAACCAATTGACCATAAATTGTAGGTTTATTTCTATACTCTATTTTCATTCCATTCGCCTATACATCTATCTTTAGTCCCATATCATACGGTCTTACCACTCTAGCTTTGTAGTAGGTTATTAAATCAGGAAGTGTAAGTCCTTCAACTTTGTTTATTTTTCCAAGATGGCTTTTTGGCTTTCATTATTATGGGTTGAAGTTCTATACGTATTTTAGGGTTAACCTTGATATTTTTTTGCAAAGCAACCAGCTGGAATTTTGATAGGAATTGAGTTGAGTGTGTAGAACAATTTGGGCTTATTTCTCTGAAATTTTAGCTCAAGCAGTTTTTTCTTCAGTTTTTCAAATATGATATTTCTGTATATTTTTGGTTTGACATAATTCTTTTTTAAGACTTATTTATTTGAAAGAGTTACAGAGAGAGAGAAAGAAAGAGAAAGAGAAAGAGAGACAGAGACAGAGAGAGACAGAGAGAGAGAAATATCTTCCATTTGCTGGTTGACTCCCCAGATGGCACAACTTTCAGAGCTGAGCCAGGCCGAAGCCAGGAGCCAGAGGCTTCTTCCGAGTCTCCCACTTGGGTGCAGGGGCCCAAGGACTTGGGCCATCTTCTGCTGCTTTCCCAGGCCATAGCAGAGAGCTGGATTGGAAGTGGAGCAGCCGGGACTCGAACTGGCTCCCATATGGGATGCCAGCATTGCAGGCAGCTGCTTTACCTGCTATGCCACAGCACTGACCACTGACATATTTTTAAATAAAACTTCGAGGTAAATTGAGCCCTTCCAGACAGGGTATATAAGTGTAACTTTGTGATGCATAGTTGTGGTAACAAGAGTAAACTTTTCTTTTTCTTTAAAGATTTATTTTTTTGAAAGAGATCTTCCATTTGTTGTTTCACTCCCTAAATGGCTGCAACACCCTGGAACCAGGAACTCTTTCTGGGTTTCCCACATGTATGACAGGAACTCCAGCACTTGAGCCATCATAGTCTGCTTCCCAGGTGCATCAGCAAGTAGCTGGGTTGGAAGTAGAGTACCCAGGACTTGAACTGCCACTCTGATATGGTATATGGGCATCCCAAGCTGAGGCTTAACCTACTGCACCACAATGCCTGATCTAGAAGGGAAAAATTCCCTTACTGGTGTTTTGGCCATTCACTTGAGAAAAATTTTTGTTTATTATATTCAGTGTATTTTCACATGTTCATTGTGGAAACTTTTAGAAAATATTAAAAAAAAGCAGAAAGAAAAAATGTTCATATTTTGCAATTTAGAGTTGGTGTGTATGTGTGTGTGTGTGTTTAAAGTTCATATCATTTGTATGTATGGAAACTTGCTGTATGTGGTATGCATGTGTAAAAATACATAAAATGATCCTTTTTGATTTAATCATATAGGGAGTGTCTTTCGTCTCACAAATAACCAAAGTGTTATTTTTAATGGTGGATTATAACTCATTCTGAGACAACTCAACAACAAATTTGGCATGTTTAGCTAGTTTTTCCAAACTATAAGTACTGTAATGATGTCTTTTTATAAAATTTTATTAATTTGGAAGAGTTACGGGGGAAAGGGAAGGAGGGAGGGAGAGAGAGAGAGAGAGAGAGAGAATCTTCCATCTGCTTGTTTACTCCCCAAGTGGCCACAACAGCCAGGGCTGGGCCAGGCCAGAGTGAAGAGCTTCTTCTGGCTCTCACGTCGGTGCAAGGCCCAAGCGTTTTGACTGTCCTCTGCTGCTTTTCCCAGGCCGTTAGCAGGGAGCTGGATTGGAAGTGGAGCAACTGGGACACAAACTGATATCCCTATGGGGTGCCGATGCCATAGGCGGTGACTTCACCTGCTACACCACAACACTGGCCCCAATGAATGTCTTTATAGTTAAATCTTTGCAGATTCTTGACTATTTTTTAAAAATTTTGGGAGAAAATAGTCAAGGGGCCGGTGCTGTGGTTTTGTGGGTAAAGCCACTGCCTGCAATGCCGGCATTCCATATGGGTACCGGTTCAAGTCCCGGCTGCTCCACTTCTGATCCAGCTCTCTGCTATGGCCTGGGAAAGCAGTAGAAGATGGCCCAAGTCCTTGGGCCCCTGAACCCACATCGGAGACCTGGAAGAAGCTCCTGGATCCTGGCTTCGGATTGACCCAGCTCCGGCTGTTGCGGCCATCTGGGGAGTGAACCCGCATTTGGAAGACCTCTCTTTCTCTCTGCCTCCCTCCTTTTCTCTCTGTGTAACTCTTTCAAATAAATAAATAAATCTTTTTTAAAAAAGAAAATCGTCAAAACTTCGTGTATTTTATATATGCAGTTTTAAGAACATAATGGTACTTCCACCCTTCCCTCCCTGAGATTCTTGATTATTTTCTAAGACAAGTTTAAGTGAAATTGCTTGTATAAAGGATGCATGGTTTTAAGTCTTTCTTGCTGTTCTTTTAATATAGTATATTAATGTTTGTTATTAGTTTCTGTTGCAATCAGAAGGCAAGCTCATAAGCAAGTGTTTGCATTTTTAAAACTACTATTGGTGCCAGTGCCACGGTTCACTAGGCTAATCCTCCGCCTTGCAGCGCCGGCACACCGGGTTCTAGTCCCGGTCGGGGCGCCGGATTCTGTCCCGGTTGCCCCTCTTTCAAGCCAGCTCTCTGCTGTGGCCAGGGAGTGCAGTGGAGGATGGCCCGAGTACTTGGGCCCTGCACCCCATGGGAGACCAGGAGAAGCACCTGGCTCCTGCCATCAGATCAGCGTGGTGCACCGGCCGCAGCGCTCCAGCCGCGGCAGCCATTGGAGGGTGAACCAACGGCAAAGGAAGACCTTTCTCTCTGTCTCTCTCTCTCTCACTGTCCACTCTGCCTGTCAAAACAAACAAACAAACAAAAAAAACTACTATTGGATGTTTATAGCAGTATTATTCATAATAGTCAAAAGGTGGAAACAACCCAATCCATTGGCAGATGAATGGATGAACAAAGTACGGTATATACATACAATGGAATATTGATGAAAATCTTCTTAAAACTTTAAGAAAATTAGTTGACAAATAATAGCCATATATGTTTATGGGAATGGAATTCTACTTTTAAAAAGATTTACTTATTTGTGTATTTGAAAGGCAGAGAGAGAGAGAGAGAGAGAGAGAGATCGATCTTTGATTTGTTGGTTCACTCGCCAATTGGCTGCAATACCTGGGCCTGGTATGGGCTGAAGCCAGGAGCCTGGAACTTCATCCTGGATTCCCATGTGGGTGGCAGGGTTGGCTGGGACTGAAGTACTTGAGCCGTCCTCTGGTTCTTCTCAGGCACATTAACAGAGAGCTAGATCAGAAGCAGAGTAGCTGAGAGTGAAACCAGCATTCCAAAGGGTGCAAGTGACAGCTTAACTTGCTGTGCCACGATGCTTGCCCCAGGAATTAATTTCTAATAATGCCACATATGGTAGGCTAAGTGAAATAAGTCAGACAAAAAGGATGAATGTGTGAAGTACCGAGAAAAAGCAAATTCATAGAGACGGAAAGTAGAATACAGGTGGGCAGGGAGGAAGATGGGAATAGATAGGGAATGATTGTTTAATCAGTATTATAGAGTTTGAGTTTGGGATGATGAAGTTCTAGGAATGGATAGTAGTGATGACTGCACAACATTGATAATGTTAATGCCACTGAATTTTATACCTAAAATAGTTAAAATGGTAAATCTCATGTTATGTATATTTTGCCCCAAAAAAAGAGAAACTACTGTTGAATGAGTAGACAAAAACCACCTACAAATCATGTGGTTATTTTATTATGTATGTCACCTTGTAGCCAAGTGAACTCCATATTCGAGTACTTGTTTTGAATTTGATAGTTTGATAGAGGGGTCTAAGAACTAGGTTCCTAATCAATATTTGTGAAATATGAAGGTGTATTGAGCTAAATGCCAAGTAGCCTGCTAGGCACTGAGGGCTGCAGTGGTAAACAAGATAAGACACAGTCCCTGGAGTCTGCTGGTTGCTAAGATTGGACAGAAAAAAGAATAAACTTCTTATTAACAAAAAGGGATTAAAAATCAGGTGACTTGTTTTCTCCTTAATGATTTCCTTTGTGGGGTGATTTTAAAATATCCTTTTCCCCGTTCAGGTTGCTATGGAAATCTATGACCACATAAAAGGAAGTCCATTTTGATCATTCTGATACCTGAGATGTAACTTGATTGAAGAGTGGAACAGATTTTACAGCCAACCTTAATTACAATGGCTACTGATTCAGGGGAGCCAGCTAGCACCGAAGATTCTGAGAAACCTGATGGAGTTTCATTTGAAAACAGAGTTCCTCAGGTTGCTGCAACTTTGTCCGTAGAAACTAGAGTGAAGGAAAAAACCAGCACCTTCTCTACTTCTGGGGAAACTATAGAAAGGAAGAGATTTTTCCGAAAGAGTGTTGAGATGATGGAAGATGACAAAGTTGCCGAATCTTCTTCCAAAACAGAGAGAATAAAGGCTGCAACAAACATTCCAAGAGTAGATAAACTTCCTACAAACGTGCTAAGGGGTGGACAAGAAGTTAAATACCAACAGTGTTCAAAGGCAACTTCGGAATCCTCAAAAGACTGTTTCAAAGAGAAAAATGAAAAGGAAATGGAAGAAGAAGCAGAAATGAAGGCTGTAGCTACTTCTCCTAGTGGCAGGTTCCTGAAATTTGATATAGAACTGGGACGCGGAGCATTTAAAACAGTATATAAAGGACTGGACACTGAAACATGGGTTGAAGTTGCTTGGTGCGAGCTGCAGGTGGGTATATAATCTTCTTGGTTTTAATAAATTCCAATTTTAATTGATCTGGCCTTCTGAATGATCCAGAATTAAAATGTATCACAGATTAAAACAAAATTAAGGGCTTGTCCCTCACCTCCCAGAATTCATGTTCTTTTCCTAGATTCTCTTAGAAGTTCAGGCAAAACTTTTTTTCTCCTATTGTTTCTCTTCTCTTTAAATGGAGGAAAATGTCCACTGTGGCTTTCATTAGGAAAATTCTGTTAATTTATTGCCATTAGGAAATCCCCAAAGTTCTTTTTAATGTGTTGTTCTGAAAGCATTGTAAATGTATGCCTTACAAGTTGTAAATGTATGCCTTTACAACCCTAAATAGTTGAGAGTGTGATAGGGATACATTTGTTGAAATATCTACCTTTTCTCTTTCAGGAAAATGGGGGAGGGGGTTCATGTGGTTCTTTTCAGAGCAAGAAAGTTTTTCTTTTTATATTTATTTCTTTAAAAGATTTATTTATTTGAAAGACAGAGCGAGAGCAAGTGAGCAAGAAAGAGAGATAGATCTTTTATCCACTAGTTCACTCCCCAGATGGCTGCAATGACCAGGTCTGGACCAGGTCTAAGCCAGGAGTCAGGAACTCCATCCAGGTCATCCAGATAGGAGGCAGGAGCCCAAGTACTTGGGCCACCTTGTGCTGCCTTTCCAGGTTCATTAGCAGGGAGCTGGATTGGAAACAGATTTGCTGGGACTTAACAAGCACTCAGATATGGGATGCTGGTGTCAAAGGTGGTGGCTTAATGCACTGAGCTATGCTGCCCCTTTTGAAAAGATTTATTTGAAAGGCAGAGTGACAGAGAGAGTGCAATAGTGTGAGAGTGTGAGTTAGAGAGAGAGAGAGAGAGAGAGAGAGCTTCCATCTGCAGGCTCACTCCCCAAATGGCTGCCACAGCCAGGGCTGAGCCAGACCAGGCCAAAGCCAAAAGCCAGGAACTCCATCTAGGTCTCCCAAAAGGGTGGTGGGGTCCCAAGCATTTGGGCCATCTTCCACTGCTTTCCCAGGCACATTAACACAGATCTAGATTAGAAACAGAGCAGCAAGGACATGAACTGGCATTCTGATATGGGATGCAGGTGTTGTAAGCAGTGACTTAGCCTGCTGTAATCCAAGGGTGGCCCCGGAAAGTTTTTTCTTGGTTCTTTGTGACTTCTGTTGATGTAAACTCCCCATGCCTTTGAATTTACCTTAGAGAGGATCTCAGGAAGAAATAATCTGCAGAATCTACTGAGGTAAGTTAACTGGAATGTGTTTTAAAAGAAGAAATAAAAGCAACTGAAGAATGATTAAATTACCTAGATATTTGGATGCCTAGTAAATGTTTACGTAATACTTTAATGAAGCACAAAATGGGGACAGAACATCATAGAAGGGATTTTAATGGAAATAGTTTTAGACAGAGATAGGTTGAATATAGGGAATACCTTTGTGACCTCAGTCAGCTCATGGGAAATGGTCAGTGTTCACATGGGGAGTTTAAGATTAAAATTGAATAAAGCCAATCCATAAGTACAGGTTTATGTTGTTCAAATTCCAGTAGTCTCTGTGAGTGAGAGTGTGCATGTATAAAATCCCATGATTGCACTTATTCTGAATTTGTTGAGGTTGCCATTCAGATAGATTGAAATTTGGTCTAGGTCACTGCATTTCTGGAAGCTTTTTGTTTTAAAACATTGTTTCCAAACTTCACTGACTGTAAGAGTCCATTTTGCCATCATATGCATATTCCAGGACCTGTTGTCACAGATTCTGATTCAGTAAGTCTAGGTTAGAGTACAAGCCTGCAATTTTAAGAAACTTTCTAAGAGCTTCTAATTTAGGAAGTCCCCTGATGCCTCTAGGAATGCAAATTACCTCTCAGGCAAGCCATTCAAGTGGTAGTTGAAAGGTGTGTGCATGTGTGGGATTTGCTTGGTTTTCTTGTCACCCCCCTTTAAGAATTTATAAGGTATATGTCATAATATAAATATTAGATAATTCTGGCAGGCATGCATCAGAATCACCTAAAACCCTACTTTGAGTACAATGCTTCAAATATTTTAGTATGTATGCCTTTCTGGTAAGTACACATACATGTGCATTTCTTTCAGTAAGGGTGAATGTCTTTTCAGAAACAGCAGATGTGTTTATGTAGTTAGTTTTAGTAAATGCTTAGTATTTCATGATAAAGTTCTTTGAATTATTTGACCAGTTCCTCTGTTGTTGGATTATATATATATATATATATTTAAAGATTTATTTATTTGAAAGGCAGAGTTAGAGAGGCAGAGGCAGGGAGAGAAAGAGAAAGTCTTTTATCTGCTTGTTCACTCCCCAGATGGCTGCAACCGCTGGAGCTGGGCCGATCTGAAGCCAGGAGCCAGGGGCTTCTTCTGGGTCTTACATGCAGGTGCAGGGGTCCAAGGACTTGGGCCATCTTCTGCTGCTTTCCCAGGCCATAACAGAGAGCTGGATTGGTACTGGAGCAGCCGGGACTCAATCCCATATGGGATACCGGCACTCCAGGCAGTGGTTTTACCCACTACACCACAGCGCCAGCCCCGGGTATATAGGTTTTTCTCCAGTATTTCACTGTTATAACTATGGATGTGGGAAGCATGGAAAATTATGTAATTATGTAAATTTAAATTTTGTCTCTGCATTATGACATAGTTAACACGTATCTTTTAGTGAAATTCTGTATGTAAATAGGAGAAATAATTTCCATTCAGTCGGTAGTAAGGTATAGTAAAGAAAAATCAGGTATGTTGCAAATTTTGCAGCTTTGCAAATTGTGTACTCTAGCTATGCTAAAGGATGTTTTGTGAAATTTGAAGAAAATATTCCAGTGGCAGAAACTTCCTAGGAGAATTCCTGGTAGCATTCACCTGTGGAAGGGTTGAAAGATCCCATAAAGTCTTACTGAAATTGTGTCTCTGAATCAGCAGCGTAGTGTGTGGTGTGGGGGGGTGTTGGATCTGTAGATTCCCAGGCCCCATCCTAGTCCTCCTGAATCCGAAACTGCCCCTTAGAAACACCTGCAGGTAATTGGTGTGCATAGTAAGTAGAGTTTGGAAAGTCAAATACGGAACCTATCCCAGGAGTTAGCTGAATTTCCTTAGCACACTAACATGAACTTTATTTTATATTATATATACTGGTTCCTGACTTCCACTCCAGACTTCTTGAATTGGAATCTCTGAAAGATTGGTCCTAGAAACTTATTCTTTTAAAGTTTCCTGGGTGACTGGATGCATACTTAGATTTGGGAATCTCTCATGTGGAGCAAATGTAATAAGTAAATTCTAAATTACACAGAGAACAAATTTTCTGTTTTAGAGGGGATGTCAGAATTAATATACTTAACTGGTCTATTAGTAAATAAAAAAGATTTATTATTTGAAAGGCAGAGAGAGGGAGAGAGAGAGAGAGAGAGAGAGAGAGAGAAAGAGAAAGAGAAAGAGATCTATGCACTGACTCACTCCCCAAATGCCTGTAACAGCCAGTGCTAAGCCAGGTCGAAGCCTAGAAGCAAGAACTTCATCTGAGTCTCCCATGTTGTTGGCAGGAACCCAAGTAGTTGGGCCATCATCCACTGCTTTCCCAGGCACATTAGCGGAAAGCTGCATCAGAAGTGAGGAGTAGCTGGGACTCAAACCAGGCACTCTGATTATGGAATGTGGGTGTCCCTAACAGGCTTAACCCACTGTTTCAAAACCCTGGCCCCTTGATCAGTTCTTAAATATTGTTTCATCTTGTACATATTTGGAATTAAAAAAACTAGCTTACTTAGAATCCCGGTAGACTAAGCATCATCATCTTTTAATTTCTTGAGTACTATGCAGTTTGAAATGTACAATTTCTCATTCTTTTTATTTAAAGTCTTATAATTCAACAATTCGGTATAAAATCACCCCACTGAGCAATTTAAATTATTCTAAATTATTTTCAAATATGTGTTTTTATATATGTAAAATTGATGTTTATACTTTTGTCTTATCAATTTGATATGTTTTTTATTAACATTGTTAAAATTTGTGAACTACATTTTATTACATTCACACTACTTCCTTTTTAAAGATTTATTTTTTGAAAGAGTGACAGGCACAGAGAGACAGAGAAATCTTCCATCTGATGGTTCACTTCCCAAATGGCTACAACAGCTGGGATGGGTCCAGGCCTAAGCCAGGAACCTGGAGCTCCATGCAGGTCTCCGATGTGGGTGGCTGGGGCCCAAGCACTTGGGCCATCTTCCGCTGCTTTCCCAGGCACATTAGGGAACTGGATCAGAAGTGGAGCTTCCAGGACTCAAATCAGCTCTCCAATATGGGATTCTGGCATTGCAAGTGGTGACTTAACTCTACTGAACCACAGTGCCAAATCCCAACATTACCTTTTGCTTAATCTTCTTAGTATTAGACAATCCCATTTTTTTTAAAAAATTATTTTTGCATCTTTGATTTGACATTCACAGCTCAACAAGAGGTTTTAATGTTTTCTTTTGATGGTATTTCCCACCATTGTGAATACTGGAGCCTTATGTAACAATTTTTTTTTCTGTGTCTCCCTATTCATAATACAGACCAGGAATGAGGCCTTAGCTAAAATGTATATGGGGAAGGTCTGCTCTGCCTCCTCTTTTTAGAGAGTCCAGTCTAAGAAAACAACCTGTGGTAAGCACTGGGAGGCCCTGTGACAGTTCTTAACAGCCCCACATCCATTTGTTTAGAGTACGTCGCCATATGGCAGTGCAAAGAACCAGGAGAGAGATTTTACTGCTAATATTTGATCTTGACAATGTTAAAAGCAAACTCTGATGATGTAGGTCAGCTTTAGGATTTTCCTGTAAACACCTGCATTTACAATAGTTAATACTATTTTGTGGTTTCCATAGCTTTTAAAAAATGTCTTAGTGGAATGACTTTGACCTATTGTTATTTGTATAGAACTTGGTAAATTACTTGGTAATTACTTGGTAAATTAGTA